GCTCCAGGAATTGATGGAATACCAAATGAAATGTCTCAGCAAGCTGAAGAAGCACTGGAAGCACTCACTGGTCTATGCCAGGAAATTTGGAAGACAGCTACTTGGCCAATTGGACTACTTGACTGGAAGAGAGTCATATTTGTACCCGTTCCAAAGAGAGAGGAGCCAACAGAATACTCAAATTATAGAAGAATATCATTAGTGTCACATTCAAATAAATTTTGCTGAAAATCGCCCGACAATGATTGCATCAATACATTGACAGGAAGCTGCCAGAGTCAGAAGAGGACTTAGAACAAGGGATGTCATTGATGAAGTTAGATGGAGTGTGGCTGAGAGCAGATAATACCAAAAATATGTTTATTTGTGGCTTATTGATTATGCCAAGGGATGCAACTTTGTAGATCATAACTATGGATAGCCTTGAGAAGAATGAGAATTCCAAAACACTTCATTATGTTCATTCAGAACTTGTACATGGGTCAATAGACAGTTGCATAGACAGAACAAGGGAGTGCTACATGGTTCAAATCAAGAAAGGTGGGTTTCAAGGTTGCCTCCTCTCACCGTACTTATTCAATCTGGAAGCTGAGCAAATAATCAGATAATTTGGATTATATGGAGAAGAGTGTGGCATCAGGATTGGAGGAAGGCGTATTTACAACCTGTGATATGCAGAGGACACAATCTCACTTGCTGAAAATGAAGAGGACTCGAAGCACTTGCTAATGAAGATCAAGGATTGTAGCCCAATGTCAAGGACATCAAAATCCTCACCAGTGGACCAAGAGGAAACATCATGATCAATGGAGAAAAGGTTGAAGTTGTCACAGATTTTTGCCTTGCTTGGATCCTCGATCAATGCTCCTGGAAACAGCAGTCCAGAGATCAAAAGACTTATTGTATTAGATAAATCTGCTGCACAAGACCTCTTTAGAGTGTTGAAGAACACAGATGTTACTTTGAGGATTAAGGTGTGCCTGACCCAAGCCATGGTATTCTCCATTGCATTATATGCATGTGAAAGTTAGACATTGAATGAATGACCGTAGAAGAACAAATACACTTGCATTGTGGTGCTGGAGAATATTGAAAGTACCAGGGACTGCTAAAGAGGTAAACCAATCTGTCTTGGAAGAAGTAAGGTCAGAGTGTTCCCTAGAGGCAAGGATGGCAAGACTTCATCTTATAGACTTTGGATATGTTGTCAGGAGAGATCGGTCCCTGGAGATGGACATCACATTTGGCAAAGTGGAAGGGCAGTGGAAAAGAAGGCAGCCCTCAGTATGATGGATTGACACAGTGGCTACGTCAACGGGCTCAGGCATGGGAACAATTGTGAGGATAACAAGGACCGTGCAGTCTTTCATTCTGTTGGTCAGAGACCCACTATGTGTGGAAGCTGACTACCAACAGCAGCATTCCCATTCTTTAAAATGTTCTCCGTCACCTTTTATGATCTGCACAATAGAATTCCTTTGCAGAGTCAATCAAACACAAGTAAACATCTTTCTGTATTTCCCTACTTTCAGTCAAGATCCATCTTACATCAGCTATGATATCTTCATTCTACCTCCTCTTCGGAATCAGCTCTGAATGTCCAACTGTTAGGTAGGCCAGCATAGGGCTGGGAGATGTCCATTAACACGTGCCCAGAGGGCCAAGCTAGGGGAACAAAGGAGTGGCACAGCGCACATGCTCAGGGTTCCCGCCAGTAGGCAAGGGTGGGCGTGAACTTGAATTGGATCACCTAGCCAGGTAAATTCAATTCAGCCAATG